CGTGCTCTCCTCTTGGTGACGTGCTAAGCAAGAAGTCCAACCGGCCTTGGGCTCCCTAAGGCGGTGTAGATAAACTTCCCGTGCTCTCCTCTTGGTGACGTGCTAAGCAAGAAGTCCAACCGGCCTTGGGCTCTCTAAGGCGGTGTAGATAAACTTCCCGTGCTCTCCTCTTGGTGACGTGCTAAGCAAGAAGTCTAGCCGGTCTTAGTCTGTCTTGGACTTGGTGGGTTCACGATGAGGTTGGGCTCCTCAACCGGGGTTGGGCTTTAATACATAAATTGGACTACTTGGGCTTAACCCATCAGATATGAACCATAAGTCATCGGAGTTAACATCAACAAAACAATTGACATCATTCTAGTATTTCAAATGTCAGTTGAAATGTTGAAATGTAGTTCAAATGTCATTATGCTCAACTCTAGTATTTCGTGTGTATCATCTTTATACCAATTCGTCTCAATATAATTTTAGATCATGCTGATCAATTATACAATGTGAATTGGGGCGGAGTCGGACATATTCTTCGGTGGGGCAACTTAAATTATATTAATATTAAAATTTAAAATATTCACAAAAGTATAATTTTATTAATAGAACACCAATTAAAAACGCAATTCATATACATGAACGATATACAAAATGAGCCAACAAAAAAAACCCATTATAGATTTATCTATAAGACCTAACAAAAAAATTATGAACCACAAAATTGGGCTCAATCATATATTAAATTTTAAGAAAAGTTTTCATTCAAAAATTAATTTGTTCAATCACAAACTTAATATTTATCATTAAATTTTAACAAAAAATCGCAACTAACTTAAACTATAATTATTCTAATAAACTAAACCTAGGTATATGAAGTATTTAACTTATCATAATAAAACTGTTCAAACTACCAAATCAAAATAATTTAGTCTAATTATAATGGAGGACTACAAGTCTTAATTCCAATTTTACAAATAAAAATAAAACAAATGAGACGACTACAAGTTCTAATTCTAATTCAACATATAAAAATAAAATACTAGAGAGGACTACAAACCCAAATATCAATTAAATATATAAAAAAATAAATCATAGAAGAGGACTATAAGCCCCAATTTTATTTCAACATAGAAAAATAAATACAAGACTACAAATGTTAGTTTCAATTCAATACATAAAAAATAAAATATAAGAGATGATTGCAAGCCCCAATTTTATATTTTCAATTCAACATTTAACAAATAAAATACAACAAAGAGCTACAAGCGCTAATTTCAATTTAACATTTAAAAAATAAACCACAAAAGAGGGCTACAAACTGTAATTTTTAATTCTAACATATAAACATAAAACAAAAAAGAGGATTACAAGCCCTAAATTTAGTTCGATATATAAACATAAAACAAATGAAAGGGCTAACCTATTTCGTAACATATTAGTTAATCTTTAAATGTCCAAATTTTTGATATCATTTTTTATTGATATTTACAAGTTAGACTCATATATTTGTCAAAATAACACAACTACTCTTAAATCTTTTAAAAGAAATTCAGTGGGGGCAAATATTTAATAAATTCTAAATTTTTTAAAATTACACTTGGTCCCCAAAAACTTTTAAAATTCTAGTGGGAGCAGCTATCCCCACCGTGAATCCGCCCTTGAATGTGAATTGTTCAATGTAAGTCTTTGAGGATGGTTTAGTGATTGAACTTGATATTTGGTAATTCAGAAATTTCATGTTTAATTTTTTTGCACACCTTTTAAGGGTTAGTCAATCTTGTCACGGTGGTCAATTGTTGAACTCAAGTGAGTAATCAATAGAAATCTAAACACTCAATAACCAAAAAAAAAAGTTCAATGTAAAGCATCACGGGAAAGAATATGCGTTCTATTGTGCACCTATAAATTAGCTTTTTTCATACATTTGGAGTAACCAAAGAAGAATATGCGAACCATTGTTCCAACTTGGCTGTTGGAATGCTGTGGGTACTAGCATTAGTGGTTATTTTATTTTATTTTTTTAGCTAATCTCAGTTTTCATTACGAAAGATTCTTTGAATCTTAATTTATAAATTAATATAACTAATCATATCATGTGTAACTCATATGAGACGTCAACAGTTTATAAATTTAAACGTAAACTCATATTCGAAACACTTGCAATTCACAGATTTCGATTTGTGACAAAAAACTAAATAATAGTCTCAGTCAAGTCCACATTGATATCAAATCATAACATTGAGGATATAAATTTAAATTTTTAATGTTTGCGAGAACAGATGGAGAATCAAAGCATCTTTTAGGATAAAAAAATGATATTAGCTCTATTTTTTTTTTATGAATATACACAACGGGATACACGGATATCTTGAATATATTTTAACCAATACCATATTATAGTCATAAGAAATGGTTATTTACTAAGTGTAATTTTACTTAAACTTAATTTGTTGATATTATTTACCAAACTACTTATTTTTTATCATTAGATTCACAATAGATCTTACTATTAGTTAGGACAAAGTACCAAATAATCACTATGATATATCAGATCAACAAATTAGATATATATATATATATATATATATATATATATATATATATA